GAGTGTTGTGTGTTGGAGTACTCATAGTAGTAGAGAGAGTTTAATAATGTCTTAGCTTTATATGAAGATCCAACAAATACACACGAATAAGAGAGAATTATAAGAGACATCAAAGTTTTTATGTGAAAAACTCAAAAAGGAAAAACCAATGGGGCTTGACCCAGTTAAAATGATTTATTATGTAAGTAAGATTACATAAGTCTGCTTTTTCTCTCAATTGATGAAGACAATATTACAAAATTGGAGTACAATCTATCTCCAATTTTTGTAGTAGAGATTGTTGGAGAAGTTGTGGATGTTAATGACAGTCGGATAACGATGATTAGGTGACCTCGATCAAGAATTGGCATTCATGCGACAACATTCATGGGGGAAACGATTGGGCAATAATGATCAATCAACAATGGTTGACCGTAGTGGTTTTTTGATCGTTGGGAGTTGGCAATTATTCGCGATGGTCATCGGCAGTGATTGTCGAACATGACTCATTAGTCCTTCAGATTTATAAGCTCTCTTTAAATTCAACCCCCTTCTATGTGAAGAATGGAGGTCATTTATAGTTTTATGGAGTGGCATACTAGTAAATTTAGCCAAAAAATTTAACATCCATGAGACAACACATGTTGATTCTCTTGATCATACGGTTGCAAGCGAACCAAACATTCAACGAGCTACTCGTTGCTCGGTTCGATTAAAGCTTGTTTGTGATCGTTTAATTAACTAAACAAAGAAATTTGAATAATATTTTAAATACTCGATCTTTAAATAAACAAGCTTGAACACTAATATGTTTGGCTCGTTTATGTTCATGAACAACATCATTTAAAGCTCGCGAACAAGCTCGACATTAAGCTCAATAAAAGCTCAATTCGTGTTCGATTTAGAACTCTTGAATAAGCTCGATAAAAACTCAATTAATATTTGATTATGAAATTGATAAATATACATAATATAAATATTTTATATTTATTATAACATACTGATATAATTATTGTTAAATAATAAAAAATAAAGCAATTAAATATTATAGTATATGCTAATTAAAAAAATTCATTAAATATGTTCATGAATATGCTTGATGTAATTGTTTGTTAGGAGGCTCGATAAGCTCGTTTGTGAAGTTAACGAACATCTAGAATTAGAGCTTATTTATAGCTCGTTAAGGCTTGTTTGTTTAAAGCTCGATAAGCACTAAACGAACCAAACACGAACCGAATATGAACACTCATTAATTTAAACGAACCAAACATGAACACAAACAATAAAGCTTGAATCAAACATGAACCAAACTTGAACAAACTGATAATAAATGAACTCAAACATAAACACTCACATACTTGGCTCGAGTCATTTGCAGCTCGAGTCGTTTGCAGCCCTAGTTGATCATAAATTATTCCTTTGTCACGACCCGGCCCGGTTAGCTCGTATAGACGAGGCGGGAACGGAAATCGGACAGGCAAATAAACCATAACTTCTAAAACTTTTTAAAGACATAAAGTATAACTGTAAGAACTTCAACACGTAGGAAACAAGCGCCTCTAATCATCATATAAACAAATCTAGCATTTCATATAACATATATGTACAAAGGTGGCAAAAAAAAATCTAACCAACATGATTCAGTCACCCAAAACAATCTAAACTATAACAAAACAACAAAATAGACAAGTGGAACCTGTCACCCGGTGTACGACGGCTGTAAGTGAACCTTGGGTGGTCAGCCATCTCTCGCAGCGGTTTCTCCTGAAAAGTTTCCCAAAACTAGGAAATGAGCTACACTCAAGTAGGAAAAACTCTATCCTATGTTTTCATATGCCTTCATGTTATAAAGAAAAGTTCTGAACTGCTTGGATTTCATACTAGATTTCGTATGCTTTACATATGTCATATTTTTCTCTATGCTTTATGTCACGTATGCCATGTCTTGTGTATGCAATTAATCAAGTCGT